AAAATAAACGATCACCAAACCAAAAAGATTACATACCCGAGAGATAATAGTGTAAAAATATTACACTATACTCTACTACATTTTTTAACTATCACCAAACCAAAAAACTTGAGTAAATAGAATATTTTACAACACGTTATCAACACTAAGTGCTCGCTGTGATCGATGAAAGACGATCGTTCGTGGCGCGAGGATACCCAAAAACTTTACAATTTCAGTGGTCGTGGAAAACCGACCGCTTGTGGCACGTAGATGCTTGAAGAACTTATGATTCAAGTTCGTTCGTGAAATGAAGATCTTGTTCGAAGAACACAATATATTTTTCGTGATAAATCGGGTTTAAGAGTTTCAAATAAAGTACATTGCAGTGCACTTCAAAGCTTATGAATAAGTATGCACTGCAGAATGAGCCGCGAATAAATTTGAAAATGTTAATGAAATTCTTTATATTTCGTGCTCGATTAAATTTATATCGCATGAGTTGCTAAATTCCCATCCCGACTCGCACCCCTAAATAACACGGTTCCATTACCAACCTCAACAAATAAAAGTCGTCTAGAATATACTTAAATTTTTACAGTGGCAAAACCGTAATTTAGTAATACCCCCAAATAGACAACCTAATTTTTTATTTGTTTTTTCAGGTCGGGGCATTTGATTTTTTCGGGCAATGAATGAAGACCAACTTCCTGCATGTTCCCACTACTACAATGGCAGCAGCAGCAGCAGCTGCTGCTGTGCTCCCAGGAATTTAATGCCTTTGTTTTAAAAACACCAGTTTCCCAACGCCCCCCCTCTCTCTCTCTCTCTCTCTCTCTCTCTACTTTCTCTCTCTACAAAATTCTTGATTGAGAAAGAAAAAGGCAACCGCCGCCGCCTCTTTTGGACCCCAGAAAAAAAAAACAATATAATAATAAGGGTAAATGGTATGGTCATATTACGTAAAAACCCTTTTATTTGGATAATTACATTTATCCATCAACTATGAATCTTCTTACACCTCCATCTTTATGGTGTCAAATTCAACATAATCATCTAGATTCTATGGAATGTTCCCTAGTTTGTACTTGTTTTGTGTAAAAATACAGTTTCTGATGCACCACAATCTGATATATATATAAACCAAAAAAACTCATCTTATGATCATCTTGCTTCAAAATATGGAGCTCAAATAAAACGAGTACAAAAGTGATAATATCCCATATAATCAAGAAGATTCCACTAAATTTGAAACTGCAGTGGTGAACTTGTAAGAAAATTTATAGTTGAGGGAATTGTTGTAATTACCCAAAAATACAGGAGGTTTTAGTAATTTTATCATACATCAAGGGTTGTTGGTTGTAATTTACCCTAATAATAAAAAAAGAAGTTGGCCTTTTTTTGAAGTCAAAACTATTATCAATTCCCCCCACCTACATTCACAGTTCCACTCTCTCTCTCTCTCTCTCTCCTCACTTTCTCTCTCTTCCACCATTCACTTTTGCGCGTGTTCTTTGATCAAAACACTTTAAACAAACAAATGAGAACAAGATCAAATTTTTGATCTCGCGAAACTGTGAACCCTAATTCCTTCGTGAGATGACTGTGTTGTTGTTGTTGTTGTTCATCCGTACAGTTTTCATCGCCGTTTTTCTCGGATTCTCCTGCCGAGCACAGAACTTCACATGCTCCACAGAAGATTCCACTTCTCTGGAGGCTTTCGCTCGCCACCTCGATTCGGGTCGGGTCGACGGGTGGGGCGGCGGCTCCGACTGCTGTCAATGGGTCGGAGTCACCTGCAGCAATTCGGGTCGGGTTATCGAGCTGGACCTCGCGAGGAGAAGGCTCGCCGGCAACATATCCGATTCGTTAGGTAATTTGGGGGAGCTCAAAACCCTAAACCTGTCGCACAACTTCCTCAGAGGCGCAATCCCTAACTCGCTTCTGCATCTGCCATTGTTGGAGACCTTCGATTTGAGCAACAACGATGTCTCCGGCCAATTCGATAACACCACCACCGCCGCCGCTAACCTGCCGTCGATCAGAGCTTTCAACATTTCGGACAATTCAATCACCGGCGCTGCCCCTGTTTGGATTTGCAAAAACTCGACCGTGATTAAGGTTATTAATTTCGCCGACAATCTCTTCAGTGGAATCCTTCCTCTTGGAATTGGTGATTGTGCTTCTTCACTGGAGGAACTCGACCTCTCCGCAAATTTCATCCATGGCGGTTTCCCTGAAGATCTGTTTCACCTCCGAAATTTGAAGAAAATGTCTCTGCAAGACAACCAATTCTCCGGCCACCTCTCCGGTCATCTCATCGGTAACCTCTCTAATCTTACCCACATCGATTTATCGTTAAACGAACTATCCGGAAATCTCCCCGACATTTTCGACAGATTTCCGCATTTGAGATTCTTCTCAGCTCAATCGAATCGTTTCGTCGGTAAAATACCGACGACATTAGCGAATTCGCCGACCCTCGTTTCTTTGAGTTTAAGAAACAATTCTTTGAGCGGCACAATCGATCTCAACTGCTCTGCAATGGTGAATCTCGTTTCGCTCAATTTAGCGACCAACGACTTTCGCGGCGAGATTCCGAAGAATCTTCCGGAATGTTCTAGGCTGAGAACAATAAATTTCGCGAGGATTAATTTCTCAGGGCAA